CTTGAAGGCAAGTACAATGCCTGACATCATCTTGACCTTAGCTTAGCATCTTCATTTTAGTATTAGCGTAGGGACAGGAATTTAACAGATAACAAGTGTTGACTGAATTGCACTGAATTCCTGAAGGGCACAGATTTCAGGAGTGATGTTTTGGGTCATTGAGCTCTTCCCCCCAGATCATATACACAAACTAATTGGTACTTAGAAAATTTTTTTCTCATATCCATTCCTTTTCCAGCATGCCTGGTAATAAGTGTGTCAAAATTAATTTCAAAACTAGAATGAATTTGCAGTGTCATCCCCAATGAAATCTATTTAAAGACTCTTTTGGAAATGGGCTCCCTTTCTGTCTGATGTTTCCAAAATTCTCATGTATACCTTTCTCATCTATTAGAAAACTCAAATGAGGGGACGGGATAGGGTTGGAGGAATAAAATTCAGGTTTGTTGCTGGTGAATCTCACTAGATTCTTACATACTCCAGAGGAAACAAGTCCCTTGTACTTGACTCTTTTCCCACAAGGACAATGAAGACTTCCTGGATCATTTTACACATTTTAAATATTAACCATGTGCTATCTGGGGGATGGAATTATATGGGTGATTTTAATTTTCTTCTATGTACATTTCTGTATTTAGAAAATTTTCTAGAGTTGTATGCATTTAGTTTATAATGGGGGGGTGAGGGGACTAGGGGAATCTAACCAATCTAGTTTTGAAAGCATGTGTTTTATTTCCAGAGTGAATTTCAGCTCTGTGTGTAAAATATACTCAAAGGAGGGTCATGGGCCTCTCTACTTCCACTCATTGACCTGGATACAAATATGGACCCATCAAGAATAGCCTCATATATTGGAATTCTTGCTTCAGCCATATGTTCAGTCTCCTTGTCTTATTATTTTTTAAGATTTATTTATTTATTTCATAGAAGAACTGGGGTGTAGGCCAGAGGGGAATGAGAGGATTCACCAGAGACAGAGTGGGGAGCAGAACAGGCAGATCTACTAAAACACACTGCTAAGGGGGACAGCGAGAGAAACAGGATAGGTCTGCTATGCCATATGTGGGATCTGACCAGGATCTAAGTCAGGCCATAGAGGTGAGAGTGCTGAGACTTAACCCCTAGGACATCAGGGAGGCCCCAGCCTCCTTATCGTAGAAGCAATTTCTGGTAGTCCAAAGTTCTTGTAAGTTGGGAGGGAGTGACAATGGAATAGTTCTGTCTTAGTTGCCTTTCTGCAACTTCAACCTGGACACAGTTATCCATCTTGTCCTGACACCTTCAAAAAGGCTTTCAAAGGGAAAACTAAGGGCTCAGGAAAATCCCCTGGCACTTTTTAATAACCATGAATTCCATAGCTAGACTGCCTCACTGAACATGTTCCAGTTTGTATGAGCGATGAATCACTTACATATCACCCTGCAGTAAGTGGAAGGCTGTGTGCACTGGGAGACCCATTTTAGCCACACTTTCTCCCCAAGGGGGAAAATCTCATCTGTGGAATCAGAGACTTTGATTCAAATAGAAATAACTGTACAAGTTTCAGAAGGCTAGACAAACAACAGGACTAGTCATTTCAGTTCCAGTGATTATAGTTATTGTGTTTAGGAAGAAACCCCTCCCTTCCTGCCCTCATCAACTCCTCCCCTCTGCTGCTCCCATTACAGAACCCACTATTTTTGCAAGGCCAAAGAATCTCTTAAAATGGAATTTCCTTCCTTTTAGGAGTCACAAGTAAACATTTACTCTGAAGTTCACAACATGACCTGTTTTCCTGAGTGACTCTTTTGTCTTTAATAATCTCAGCCCTTGAGGTTAAAGGTGGGTGCTGGGAATTTATCCAGGCCCCAGGGTAAGGAGGTAGTATTACTGCCTACATAATTAAGAATTGACTAATGGCATTCAAACTCAAGGTCCTGTGTCCTGTCTTTCACTCCCACTCACAAATGAGAAAAATAGAATTTTAGAATTGCAAGAAATCTTTACAGATTCTTTCATACACCACTTTATAATACAAATGAAGAAAAATGCTCATAGTCCTTATTGCAATGATGGCACCCACCAGTGAATAACTATTTGCTTTTTTATTTCTGGCCTAAGTTGTTGAAAATGACCAATACATTCCAAGTTTGGAATACCAGGTTCCACACTTAAAAACCGTTTTCTTTCACTCTATAACACTGAATTATGTGCCTCCATTAGGTTTACTATAAAATCATTATAGCCATATGCTCCATTTTACTTTTTATTTCATTATTTATCTTTCATTTATTTATTGAGACATAAGTCACATACCATCCAATTCACCTATTTAAAGTATACAATTTGATGGCATTTTGTATATTTAGAGCTGTGTACCTACGAACACAATCAATTTAAGAGCATTTTCATTACAGGACCCATCCTGGGCAAAATTCTTTCTCCAAAGAAACCCAATGCCCATTAATAGTTATTCTCATTTTCCTTTACCCCCTACACCCAGATTTGCCTATTCTGAACATTTCACATAAAGAGCCTCCCCGGTGGCACAGCTGTTGAGCGCTGGGTTGTGAAGCTGCCCACAGCCTCTGCAGCGCCAGTTCGATCCCCGGCTGCTCCCTGGCCACTGGAGGAGGGTTCCGCAAGGCCCGCAGACTTCTGCTGCCCTCTGCTCCCCTCAGTAGTGTACTTCGGTCCTTCTGCCTGCTCTGGCTCTGGTGAATTCTCTCACCCTCCCGCGCTTCTGACTGTACCCAGTGCTTGTATAAATAAATAAATAAATAAATAATTCTTAAATAAATAAATAAATGGAATAATACAATATGTAGTTCCTTGTGGCTGGTTTCTTTTACTTAAACTAATATTTTCAAGATTCACCCATGTTGTAGAATGTGCTTCATTTCTTTTTTACTGCCGAGAAATAACTATTCCATCATAGGAATCTACTGTGTTTTGTATATTCAGTAGTTGATAGTTGGCTGAATTTTATTTACAGCAATCAGTGTGATCTCTGACTGCCAACAGAAACTTAAAATCAAGACATACTATAGAGTTAATCTCTTCCCATGTAGAATTTACACCTAAAGCATTCTTTTTTTTTTTTTTATTTATTTATACAAGCACTGGGTACAGTCAGAAGCGCGGGAGGGGGAGAGAATTCACCAGAGCCAGAGCGGGGAGCAGAGCAGGCAGAAGGACCGAAGTACACTGCTGAGGGGAGCAGCGGGCGGCAGGAGAGGTCTGCGCGCCATGTGGGACCCTCCTCTGGTGGCCGGGGAGCAGCCGGGGATCGAACCGGCGTCGCAGAGGCTGCGGGCAGCTTCGCAACCCAGCGCTCAACCGTTGCGCCACCGGGGAGGCCCTACACCTAAAGCATTCTTAATAGAAAGTCTTTATAATCTTACACGTGAAACTCAACATTTTTTCCCCCAAAATGTTCTGATGTATATAATATTGTGGAAAGACAAAGTTTTCCTGCTCCTCTGACTCCTGGGAAAATAGAAGCAAATACGTAGGTAGATTGCCCAAGTGACAGTCACTAGGAAGAGAAAGGAAAAGAGAAGAATCAGAACAAGACTCATCTTTAGTTTTCAAAGTGTGAGGTTTGGAAAGAGAAAGCATTTGCGCCTCTCACACACCCAACTATCTGATAGGGATTCCTTCCACCTAGATACACACAACAATTTAAGGGTGGATGTGGGTAAGGGTGAGGAAAGGTGACGGTCTAGGTTGCAAATTTTGTCCTACCTCAAGAGACTTAGTATTTAAATTTTTGTCCTAGGTTTATAGTTTGACCCTCACCCAACCTCCACACTTCCTGTGGGTCTCCAGGTGGGTTCTGATTGGGACACTTTAGGGGACGGGTTCCTGTTTTGTAAGAAAAATCTTAACTTGTAAACACCAATTTGAGGGTATTTACGATCCCGGGATGTCCCTGCTTATTCAGGTTCTGCTTTTCCTCCTTCCATTCTTAGGTGAGTCGGGCTGGAGAACTCCTGAGTCACCTGCCACGGACAGAAGGGGCTTTTAGGAGCGTCTTCCGCCCCATACCGAGGGCAACTGAGAACAGGGGGAAGAGATCCTTGACTCATTTAGCCTGAAGCTTGGGAGTTGTGTCATTCCCCACACGTGATGTTCTAGGCGGCGGAGACCACGTATCATGGGACTTATTCACTCCAGTGACTCCACCCCTTTCCTCTATTCCCCAGCCCCCCACTTCTGCGCTCCGCCTAGAAGTCTAAGGGGAGAGGAGGGTGGCGCGAGCCAGGAAATGCCACTCTGCCAAGTTGGCTCGCGAATCATAGAATTTCATGGCCTTACAGTTTTACCCTTCTCCGGAATTGCCTTGCATTACGTTTTAGACTGTTCTTCCTTTCATTATCCCCAAACAGCTCTGTCTTTATGGAGACCACTTAATCACTCAGGCAGACCTAGTTAAGGTTGCTTTCCCTCCCTCTTTGTTCCCCACTTTTTTTCTGAGCCCGGAATTTTCAATCAGCACTGGTTTGAGTCCCGGGTCAGCCTCTTCACGTTCTAGTCGCGTGACCTTGAGTGAACTACAACTTTTCTCGGCCTGTGAAACAGCAGTCAAACGTCTCACTGCGCCTAGCGTAAGGAGCAAAAAGTAAGCACTCTGGGAGCTGTAAAAAGCAAGAGAAATTTTAGCTATGTTAATCTGGACGGCGAGTCAATTTTCCAGAACCCAGGACCCCTCCCTTTCCTTTGGGACCCGCCCTGCAAACTCCTCCTGGTGCTGACAGTTCACACCACCCTCCTCTAGCAGTCTTGCCATTGGTGGACGCACTGTCGCGCGGCGCCCAGTGTTGACGCCATCGCCCCGCCTCCACCGGCGCACGGTGACGTTTGGCCCCGCCCCCGGCCGCGCCTGGCCTCCCGCGGGGCCCCGCCCATCGGGCCGACGCGGCGTGGGTCCCGCCCCACGGGTGACGTGTGGCGCGCGCGGCCGGGCCGCTCCGGCAGTTGGTGCAGCGGCGGTTGGGCCGAGTGCGCTCAACCCACCCCTCCCCTCCGCCGGCCCCGGCCCCCCACCCCGCCGGGCCCAGCCCCAGCCCCAGCCCTAGCCCCAGCCGGGCCCGTCCCGTGCGGGCCCGTGCCACCCCCTCGGCCGGCGACGCGCCGGGCCGCCCGCCCGCCCGCCACCATGGAGCTGGAGGACGGAGTGGTGTACCAGGAGGAGCCCGGCGGCTCCGGGGCCGTGATGTCGGAGCGGGTGTCTGGCCTGGCCGGCTCCATCTACCGCGAGTTCGAGCGGCTCATCGGGCGCTACGACGAGGAGGTGGTCAAGGAGCTGATGCCACTGGTGGTGGCCGTGCTGGAGAACCTGGACTCGGTGTTCGCGCAGGACCAGGAGCACCAGGTGGAGCTGGAGCTGCTGCGGGACGACAACGAGCAGCTCATCACCCAGTACGAGCGGGAGAAGGCGCTGCGCAAGCACGCCGAGGAGGTGAGGGCCGCGGGGAGGGCGGGGGCCGGGCCCGAGGGCGCGGGGGTCGCCGCGGGGCCCGGGAGGGGGGCGCGCCGGGCCTCCCGGGGGCGAGCCTGGCGCCGAGGCCCCCCGACCCAGCCTGGCCCCAGCCAGGACTCCCGGCGGGCGTTGGAAGTGGCGGGAGGCTTGCGAGTGTCGGGGCGAGGGGAGCGACCCGGGAGAGGCGCGGCTCGGGGAGAAAGCCACGGCCTGGCCCGGGGGCACCTGGCGCTGGCCGAGGGCTGTGGTTTGTCATGTGTCTGGTGGCCTCCTGTTTAGGGAAGTTTCCGACCACCGTAGGGTAGTCAGAAGGCGGCTCAAACTTTTACCGTGGCGGGAGGGGGCGGGGGAAGGCGCATCTAAACACTTGGGTCCTGGATCCGTAACTTCCGCTGGGTCCAGTACCTTTCCTGGGGGGGTTTGCTGCTTTGGGAAGTTGGAGATCTCCCTCTTTCGGCCAGTTTCTTCTCGACGTTTTAACCCTGTTTGAGAAAGAGATTGTATTTTCTGTTTTATGTGCTTTGGTTGACACTTTGTCAACGCTTAGTCTAGCAATACTTGGTAAATAGAGAGAGTAAACAATTTAATTTTTCTGGTTTCTCACACCAAAGCATTCCTCCCTATCAGGTGGCAACCTTGGACAGTTCCCTTTAAAAGCCCTCTATTTATAAAGAGGACTTGGGTGGGGGGGCGGGGTTGATGAGAGGTGTGGGTGACTGTTGGCAAAACCCTTCTCCAGTCCAAGTTTTATGGATGCACTGGACCAACTGTTAACTCTAGCACCTCAGCGGTGACCTCGCTGCCCTCGCCTCAAGTTTGTGAACCTCTTGAAGCTCTGGAGTGTGATAGGTCTTCCTTCCACTTCTTGAGACAGTCGGGGATTATAGCTTTCAGACTGCAATGGCATTATTTCTGCGGAATTTACCTAATCCAGGGGAAGTTTCCTGTTCACCTTTCTTTCCCCAGCATTTAGCATACCTGGCTAGAGAAATGACGACTGGAGGAAGCTAAATAACTAATGAAGGAAAAACATGTTATTTTTCCTAATACTTGAAAGATGTTAGGATGTAAGATTTGTTTAGCAGCTCATTCCCTGGCATTGAATAGTATCACTATTTAAACGTTTTGCTTTGGGCCAAGTCAGATAGCTCTTTTTCTTTTTTAAACTCAGTGTAGTGATGATTGTCAGTTCTGATTTTACGAGCCATTTGTCTCAAAAGGTGGCATTGAATTTATTTGCCAAACAAAATGGACTTTGAGTTTTTGCAAGTATATAGTGAAGGAGAAATTGAAAAAATTCTGAGGATGGGTTCACTAGTTTATTAGCACTGTCTTAGAACAGAGGTCAAGTTCTACATCTGAGGAGGCATGCCTTGTCTTCATACTGATAGACCCTTACCAGTGTGTGGCTCTGTATGGTAGAGACTGGGGAATTAACCACATAAACACATAGGTGAGGAACAGGGCCAGTAGTATCTACTCCCTCAGGTAAAAAAGAAATGCTTCCTTTAGCCTTAAACTCTTGTCAGTCCATGTAAACATGGGCAAAGTGCCAGGGTCACATGTGCAAAGAAAACTGCCTGCCACAGGTTGCAGAATCAAAAATAAAGCTAGACTCTGGATTGTATATTAAAGTAAACAACTTTGAAAATAGGTTACCCAAAGATTTTCTTTGTAATTTATACTTTTTCAGGTATGTGTGGAAGTTATTCGTATTGAAACCTTTAGGCAAAATGTCACGACTTGAGAATAGAGAACATGGATGAAATGCTAGATGAGCCAGCTCGCAGACCACAAACATAAAACCACCTTGTCAGTCTTCATGTAAGATAATAACTCAGGTTTACCCAGTACCTAGAAATTCAGTCTGTCTTAAGCCAGTATGTAGAGTGAATTCTGTGTTTAAGTTTCCATGAGTGCTTTGCTTGTGAACTTTAATACTGAGAATCAGCGTCTGCTATTATATAGCAAAAGTGCCTCAGGGTATTTACAGAAAAAACATGGAAATTGTCCATCAGCAGGGTGTAAAGTAAATTCTGAGCACCTTTGTGGAAATTTAGGAGGGTACGTAAATGGTGAGAATGTTTTTAGGAGGTGAAGTGTTATAATCTCTTGGTTGCAGGAATTCTCAGGCAGGAGTCAAAAGTTTAATTTTTACTATAATGATATTATAAAGGTTTCAATCTAAAGAACTCAGACATTTGAAAAAGTATAAATTACAAAGAATTTGACTATCTTATGCCTTTCTTTGTTTTTATTTGATTCTTTTGTGTGCAGTCTGTTTTAGTGAGTCTAAAAACAATGTAACAAAGGAGTGACTTGAGATGGATTTGTGATCAGTTTCAAATGCTAATCAAGAAAGGGATCATTTTGGGGGGGTCTCCCTGGTGGCACAAGGGGTTGAGAACCTCCTTATGAGTCTATCTGCAGCCACTGCAGCACGAAATCAATACCCGGCCAGCCAGGGAACAACCCACATGGCGAAGCAGACCTCTCCTGTCTCACCTGCTGCTCCCTTCAGCAGCGTATTTCCGTCAGTCTGCCTGTTCTCCTCCACACTCTGTCTCTGGTGATTCCTCTCAAACCACCCCCACCACCACCACCCCGGCATCTCTGGCCTGTGCCCCAGCTCTTGTATGCATAAAATAAAAAATAAATAAATCTTAAACAAAAAGAAATGTATCATTTTTATTGCTTTACCACTTTCCCTTTTGAACTCCCTGGTCCAGCCTTACAGCTTTCCATTCCTTAACAGAGTACCATCTGATGCCTTTGCCCATGCTATTCCCTTGGCCTAGAATGCTTTTCCCTTAGAGCTCTATCATGTCTAGCTGCTCACTTTTGGCTCAGCTAAAATCTCACAATTTCAGTGAGACCTTTCCTGTTAAGTCTATGCAGAGTTAGCCCTGTGAACCTGATTAATTTATTTGTAAATCAGTGATTTTTCAAAACAAAAATCTGTATTAAAAAATGATCTGGAAAGAAGTGTTCTGGGGAAGAATATATTAATGATTTTTATATTTTTATGTTTTTGTATTTTTGTTTGGGAAAAGTGTGATTCTTTTAAAATAGGTATGATTTGCTTTGAGTGGTTAAAAAAGAAAGAAAACTTCCCTGACAAATAGGCAAATTAAAGAACCTTTTCCCTAGAAATTTCCTCTATTCTTCCTTCCGTTCTTGTATTATAGAATCGTATAGGGGCTGAAGAGAATATCTTTTTTTTTTTTTAAGATTTATTTATTTATTTTATACAAGAACAGGGTACATCCAGGCGCATCCCGGCCAGATGTGCGGGAGGGTGACAGGATTCACCAGAGACAGAGTGGGGAACAGAACAGGCAGACTGACTAAATACACTGCTGAGGGGAGCAGCAGGCGAGACAGGAGAGGTCCGCGGCGCCATGTGGGACCCTCGCCGGCAGCCTAGGATGGAACCGGCGCTGCAGAGGCTGTGGACAGCTTCACAGCATGGCGCTCAACCGCCTGCGCCACCAGGGAGGCCCTGAAGAGAATATCTTTGCTGGGAAGAAGATGTTGTAATTATGTGATTTTATGATTGCTTTTTAAGTGACTTTTTGCTTAAAAAAAATTGGGGTGATTTAATTCAGAAATGAGAGATACTGCTAAGAATTTTCACCCAAATTGCTGTTTTATAAGAAGATTTTCATCAAGTTGCTCTCCTTGGAAGTATATGAAACTGGGGTGATAAGATTCACTGGCAAGAAAAGAAACATTGGGGCCTCCCCTGGTGGCGCAGCGGTTGAGCGCTGGGCTGCCCACAGCCTCTGCAGCACCGGTTTGATCCCTGGCCTCCGGCGAGGGTCCCACATGTGCGACAAGACCTCTCCTGCCTTGCCCGCTGCTGCCCTCAGCAATGTATTTCGTCAGTCTGCCTGTTCTGTTCCCTGCTCTGGCTCTGGTGAATTCTCTTACCCTCCCGTGCTTCTGACTGTACCCAGTGCTTGTATAAATAAATAAATAAATCTTAAAAAAAAGAAAAGAAAAGAAACATTGATAGTGTTTTATGAATGGTGTAGTTTTCATTCACTCATAAGAATATTTTCATCAAAATTCTTGAGGAAGTTGATATGTTTGCAAAACAATTTACAAGTATAGTTAAATTCATCTCTAATAAATATTTAAAAAGGAAAATTTGAAATTTTCACTGAGATTTGTGACTTTATCAAGTGATAGGAATGAAGAGCAATTTTTCATATTTATCTCTGAGATGTGTTGTTGGTGGCTATTAAGGACTAGGAAGTTAAAAAAGGGAAATTCCACTTTTGCTTCCACATAGTTACTTGGTGCCCTTGGTAAAGTGCTATTTAAATGAGTAATTCCTCTCACCCCAGCACCGCTGGCCTGTACCCCAGTTCTTGTATGCATAAATAAATAAAAAAAAAGAATTGACTCAGGTGCTGACTTAATTTCTCTAATGGTTCAGTTAGAACAAGAGTTGGCAATTTTTGGAATGTTATTTCTTTAGTCAAACCCAAGTTTTAGAAGTCTCAAAATATATTTCAGTGCTTCATTGATTTCTGTATTACCTAAATTATTTTGCACATAATGCCAGTATCTTTAAAGACACACTTTATATTTTAAAAAGTATTTTTTTTTAATTTTTTAAAAATTCATTTATTTATGCATACAAGAGCCAGAGCACAGGCCAGAGGTGTGGGGGGGGGGGGTCAGAGGATTCACCAGAGACAGAGTGGGGAGCAGAACAGGCAGACTGACTGAAATACACTGCTGAGGGGAGCAGCAGGCGAGCCAGGAGAAGTCTGCTGCGCCATGTGGGTTGCTCCCTGTCTGGGGATCAACTGGTGCTGCAGCAGCTGCGGCTGGCTTCATGGGTTTCGTCTTAACCCCTTGCGCCACCAGGGAGGCCCCTAAAAGGTATTTTCATACTTAAAAAGTTGCCATTGTTTTTTCTTACTGAACTATTTGAATAAGCCTCACACTGCCCTACTCAGACTAGA